AAAACCTCTAATTCCTGTTAGAATAGTCAATTACCCAGGTCCACCTGATTGTGTACAAAACTCAGCTCTCTAAACTTTTCATGCTCCAACCCCATCTCACTTGTATCTCTAAATAGGTTTCTCTAAAAGTCGGGCTGGAATTAGACTATAACTCAACCCCAAATGGATGAGACAACTTGGCAGCCCCGTGATTCTCCACCTTGAGTTAATGGCAGTTCTTAAAGTTAACCCATTAGAAACCAGGATAGATGATCAAAACAGACTCTTACAACCTGCAGACAACCTATAGGATGATACTTGGTCACAGTGACCCTGAGCATCCTGTGTTGTGCCTGTACCTTTTCACACTCAAGCCTGGCCCTCTACAACCTGAGGGCAGCAGAAGATAGGCAGGGCCTGAGCTGGGGACAAACTAGACAGCCTTCACTGCCTAAATTCCAGTAACAAATCTGCTCAAGGTGTGATAACCGTGTTCATCTTTAAGTAGCAGAAAAGCTGGAAGCTGGGATCAGGCCACCATATGACAATCTGAGACATTAGAGGGCCCATTCCTTCATCTTCCTCAAAGAATGTGTTGTTTAGGCACTACATAAGGCATTTGAAAAACTGTAGCCTAACAGTTGACCCCATGAGTTAGTTTCCCAAATCTAACCGGATCTAGGTCAACACTGTCCAGCAAAACCATATGCAACAGTGGAAATGAAAGTTCTGTAAGTTATCTGTGCTGTCCAATATGGTAACCATGTGGCTACTGAGTACTTGAAATGTGGCCAGTGCAAATGAGAAACTGAAATATCTAATTTCAATAAGTTTAAATTCCCACATGTGGCTAGAAGCTACCATATCTAACACCGCAGCTAGGTGACCTAGCTAGATGCATTTTCACAACCTGCAATGGTGAGAACCAGACACAGGGTTATAATGACCCCAGGGTGACCCACCTTCATAGCCTTTAAGGAGCCAACCATCGACCTCATTACTCACTTCTTATGTGCAACATGTATCTCTTTACTAAAATAAAAAGAGCCCGGTAAGGATTGAGAATGTTGAACTTACTGGAATTTAATGAAGAGGAGAAAGAGAAAATTTTTCTTGTTTTAAAACAAATAGCATACAAACACCATTTAGGGTACAAAGGCTTGTAATAAAAATGCCCTAAAACAGATTAATCTTCATAGGAGTTTAATATATAATAAAGGTAGTACTACAAATCAGCAGAGAGAAAAATGGCCACATTTAAATGGTGGTGTGGAGAACTGAGCTAACTGCTTGGGGAAAAAAACTGAGTTATCCTCAGCAAGAGGCAGGGTTCTCAACAACAAATCACACACACACACACAAAACCGCTGAACCTCAAAAACCATCAGAAAAAAGAGCTGAGGGAAAACTATTTGCAACAAAGAAGAAACAAATTAAAGATTAGTATTCTTAATATACAAAAAACTCTTTTAAGTTAGTAAAAAAAAAGTTCAAAAAATAGTCAAAAATGAAAAGACGAGATAACCAGGAAAAAATACATTAACTACACTAATACCAAAGAAATGCACATTAAAATAATGACATTCCACTTTTCACCTATTACAATGATAAAAATAAATGTAATACCTACGGCAGGTAAGGGTGTTGACATTTTCATACAGTGTTTGAAAATATTTTCATACATTGCAAACTGGCAATATTTATCAGTATTCTTTAAAATAGTTATACTCTTTAATGCAGTAATTCTATTGTCAGATGTCTGTCTCCTAAAGAAATAACCAGGGATATGAGCAAAGATTTGCAAGAATCTTCACCAATGGCATTAATAAGAAAAAATGAGACATTACAACGTCCAACTATAGGGGATTAGTAAAATAAGTCACGGCTCAACTATACAATGGAATGTTATGAACATTAAATGTTTTTAAGGCTATTTAATGACATGGAAAAATAACATAATATTAAGTAAAATGTTTAACAGTAAGGAACACTGCACTGAATGCTTCTCCCAGTGATATCATCATGTTAAGTTAAAAGATATGCAAGTCAAACAACTGCCTCCCCTGCTCCCAGAATGCCCTTCTCTGCTCCAAGACATCCTTCACCCTGCCTCTGGAGCCCTTCTCTTTCTAACCTACCCTGTACCCTGCCCTTCTTTTGTTGCTGGGCCTCTGCAATGTAAACACTTCTCTGCAGATTAGTCCCAGAGATAGAAGCTCTTAATCTTCTTAAAGGACAACTTTTGCCCCAATACCCAGCATCCTTCTCTGCTGCTTCAACCAATTCAGGACATCCAACTCTGTTCCTCCAACCCCTAACTCCATCCCAAAAAGCTTCCCTTCTTTTCTACCCATCATGGGCACTCAATGAATGAATGAAATGACCTAACAGTATAAATCCAATTCTAATAAAAGAAAATCAAATTACTCAGTTTAAGTCCCAATGATGAAATTACAGATTGCTTTGATTTTCTTCTCCACATTATTCTATTTCTTGTGTATTTTCTAAAACAAATGCATACCATGTATACTTTCATAACAAGGACAAAATTAACAAACGGAATTGTACTTTCTCCTCCATTTTAACAGGCCCCTAGGCCTAGATTAGAGATATTCAATGCTTGACCAGGGATTTAAAAAAGCAGCTTGGTTATCAGATTTCCATATATTTTGGAAAACACTTAGAACCACGGTAAGTCTGGCCTCAACAATTGGCCTTTCACCACTGAACAAGCAGTTCTCTTTTCTGGAATTAAAGATGAACACATTACAAAATTAAAGCATGTCAAGAAATTATGCAGCCATCTTGTCTGACATCTCAGTGAACTGCAAATGAATGCACAATACAATATGCCCAGAGGGCTCACAATTCCATCTCACAAAGTTGGCTGGGTTCTTCCTCTCTTCACAAATGGCCAGCCTGATGCATAGCATGTTTAGCTACAAACTGCTCTGCTGACTCTCCCTGTAACATTTTCATGGCTCGCCAGTAGATCTGTCCGCAGTTCTCAGGTCTACCATGGGGGTGGTTCAATTCTTCTTTGATGTAATCCATCCAAAGATCTTTAAAGGGAACCAAAAAAATTAACTATAAACATACAACTAGATAAATGACAAGGCTTTATTAGGTAAGTAGAATTATTTAATATCAACACAATGCAAGATTTCTAAGAAACAACTTCCTACTGTTGTTTTCCTAGAACCTTATGTGATATAATACCTCTCTGAGCTTCTTTACAGTATGACATATATCAAAGCTATTTTTTTTGTAAGTACAAAATTTTACTTTTATCGTAACATTATAGTTTCTCACAAACTCAAAAATACTAAATATTTTAGAGGGAGGATTTGTTGAGTCTCTTTCATGGCGAAAATGACTTCAAGTGAGTTCACTAGAACCTTGTCGGCATGCTTAATAAAATGCGTTTGGGTTAGTAAAAATGCTATTTTCATTCATTTCACCAGAAAGTCTGCTGAAACACTGCAAAAGCTAATGTAATTTTTAAAATCTAAATTTAACAACTATATGTACCAGTTTTTGAGTCATAAGTAAACAGACTTTACATGACAAGCCTATACCCAGAAGTATGTTTCACAAGTCCTACAAATGAGGACAGCGTGACAACAGCCAATGACAGCCTTTGTCAATTAGAATCCCACTGCCCCTTTGCTGTAACTCCCACCCCATTGTGTTCTGACCTACATTATTAACCTTTTCCTCACAAACATAACATTTTTTAAGAGAATCAAACCAAGAAAATTTTCCCCTAATCCAGAGTTCTTAATAGAAGGGCCATGGACTCCTGGGCTTGTGAACTTGAAATTATCAACAAAATTATGTCTGAAGTATTTCTGCACCGAATGAGGGAGGAAGCTGGGGGAAAATGCCAGGTTTTGTTGTCAGAGAGGGCCATGACCTGAAATCAGCTACGAAACTCTATTCTAACCATTAACGGCAGGTTACAGACCATACGTGCAAACATACTCACGTATCTATAACTGAAGTTTACTTACCAGAATCTACAGATCCGAATTCTCTCAAAGCCCTCTCATAATACTCCCTTAAGTTCACCATCTTGCAGGATTCCTAACAAAAATAATCAGACAGTCTTGCCTCAAAAGCCTAATTTATGATGTCTCAAATTCATTTCACCCACATTGCTGAGTAGCTACCATCTTCTGGGTATTAGAAAGGGAGGAGGGCTGGGTTTCAATGATCACAGCCTGGCTCTGAACTTCACCAGAGAAAAGTCAAATGCACCACACAGCAGAGTGAAGTAAATGGCAAACAATGATAAAAGCACTCTGCCACCATCACATGGAAAAAGCCTAATTAACTGTCAGCTGGGGGACATGGGCAGCTCCACAGGGTAATACATGTGAAGGCCCTGAGGGAGGAGTAAGATTTAAATAAATAAAGGGGGAAGGTTCTGTTCCCTACGGCAGGGACTTCTTCCTTTGAACTCTTGGGCTCTGGCACACGTTAGCCATACCCACCCCCAAATTTTTTGTATCAAGACAAAATATATAGAAATACTAGCTATATGAACTTTAGCAAGTTTTCTGAACCCTCTGACCTTAAAGTTTCCTCACCCGTAAAACAAGGATATCTCTTTGGGCTACTACAAGGATTAACTTAAAATGCTGATTAATTATGCACCTAGCAGAGAAGCCAGTGCTAACTTTACGATCGATAAATGTTCATTCTTTACCTCTACAACTCTTTGTTTCATTTTCAAAGCAGATTAATATCTCCAGTTTAAAAATCTTTTTGTGTATTCCAATTTCTCTTCACTGAGACTACTATTTTATAAAAAGCCAACGTAACCTATCTTACATACACATGAAAAACAGAACCACACTTTGCTAAGGACTCATCACGTGCAGGGACCTGTGCAAGGTACTTTCTATTCAGTCTCCCACTTGGCCTTGTAACCCTCGCACCCCTGAAACAGGTATTACAACGTCCTTTACAGGCAAGGATTTCGAGGCTTAGAATCAAGTGACGTGGCCAAGGCATGTAACTATCATGTTATTAATCCAGGCCTGGCTGTTAATTATTATGCTAGACTATCTCCTGTCCTGTAAGATAAGAACAGATAACTGACCCACACAACGACCAAAACTATGAAAATAAGAGCTCTCAATCTATTAATTTTTCAAAATTCAAGTAAAAATAATAAACACCAATCAAAATACCAAAATAAAGGAGAGAAAGCAACACTGAAGTGTGGAGGAAACAAGATATACTAAGATACGTATAGATATAGATATATATCTGCTGATTATCACTATAAAGAAGTAGGATAATTCTTTTAGAGGACTATCTGGCAGTACGTTAAGAGCCATTTAAAAAAGCCAGTACCTCCAGTCCTAGAAATTAATCTCAAAAAAGTAATTCAAAAGAAAAAAAAAGCTACATAAACAAAAGGCTCACAGCACTGTTTTCAATATCAAAAAATACCGAAACAACTTACATGTAATGGAATGGTTAAGAGAACTACATGTTTAAAAGTAATACAACTATTAAAAATGATACCATGTAAGAACATGGGAATGTGTTTACAAAATAATGGTAAGAAAAAAGAGAACCTCCAAGTGTCATGTAAGTCAGAAATAAAATGGTACAAAACTGTGCATATATATGTAAATGGAGGATTAAAAAAACAATATAAAAATAAATATGGTTTGCTGTGTTACTATAATAGGATTATAGATATGTTTGGATTTTCGTGTATTTTTTTTTTAACTGACAGTTTCCTATATTTTTCCTCATTCACAAGTTCAGTTAAAAACATCCAAAATAGCTGTGGGTAGAGAGCTCAGTGTTAGAGCACATGCTTAGCAATCCCCTGTACCTCCACTTAAAGAAAGAAAGAAACAAACAAGCCTAATTATCCTCACCAAAACAAAAACAAAAACGCCCGAAACAGTTATGCATGCCTGCTCTCTGCCTCTACCTCATAACCCCAAACAAGACACAAACAGGGCCCTGTGGAGGCAGAGAAGTAGCACCTCACTCAACCTAGCAGGGAAGGCTTCCTGTAAGAGGTGATATCTGAGTTTTCTAGTTTCCAAACATGTACCTTTCCTTCTTTGCCTGATTACCATTCCTAAAACCACATCTATGAAAAGGGGGTTGGAGGAAGGGACCAGAAATTATACTGTATTATAATGAGAACTTTTTAAATAACAAAATGCTGCCAGAGGTTAGTAACCACTAATCCATTTTCCCAGACAAGAAATACAGAGACAGAATACTCACTTGCTCCTTTTCAAACTGGATTATCTTCCTGAAAAAATCAACTGAAAATGGACGGCTTTCCTGTAAACTAAAGAAGATGAGGGGGGACCGTTATCTTCCACAATGTTACATCCTGTGACTATAAACACCTATGCCATGGCCTCCACGACAAGTGGTTAATCAAGTCCTGGCCGCAGTTCAGTGCGGGGACTGGACCTGACCACCAGCCCCTCACCACCCTGTCTCCAGTGCCTCACTGTCCACCACCCAGTTCTCTTTCTGTTCTCTTCTTTCTCACTTTTAGTCTTAAGTTCCCTGTACTTCATCTCAAGGCTTTTTGAAGGAGACCAATAACTCCATTTCTAAGAATATATTCTAAGAAAATAATTTCCAACATGGACAAATAACATTTGTGGAGAAATGTCCATCAGAGCAGTTACTGCAGCCAAGTAAATCATGGCACATCCACAGAGTGGTATATCATAGGGCTATTTTTAATAAACGTTATTTATGAAGAATTGTTACTGACAGGAAAAAGGTCAGTCTATTGTTCATCAATAAAAGTGGTAGGAAATATGCAATTATAGGATAATATCAGACATGTGAAAAACACATTTTAAAGTGATATATTAAGATGGTTTTCCTCTTGATGACGGTATTACAATGAATTATTAGTTACCTCTCTCCCTTTTTTAAAAAACTTTCCACAACAGGTATGAACTGCTTCCATTGTTCAAAAAAAAAGGAAACTTAAAAAGGCTCTTAGATTTATTCCTCCATCTATCTGTGATACACATAATCTGGGTGTGAGAGGCTGAGCACACGGTTGAGACTGGAAACAGCTGCAAATGTCTGTGGGTACCTTTTAAACACAGCTCTGGCCTTTTTGCAGCCACCACTTCGGTAAGCCCAATCCAGGTACTTCTCCTTCAGAGTGACTGAGTCGGCACCCGTGACAGCTAAGATAGCTTTCTAAAATTTAGAAGAAAAAAAAACAAGCTATGTGAGGCAATGTCTAGAGATCAAAACAAATTTTCCCAGAACCATCCCTGGCCACTCAACTAACAGTGCTTTAATAGGAACATCTTTAGAAATTACCCTTTGAAAGCTAGCCAGCTGGCAAAACTACTCGCTCAGTCCCCACACACAATACCTTAAAGATTGCTTCGGTGTCTTCTTGACTTTTGGCACCTTCACTCCACTCTGCCCAAGAAATCCATAGTGGCAGACAAATCTGCTCACAATAATAAAAAAAAAAAGTTAGAAAATGACAGCTTAGTGTTCTGCTCTGAAAACTACACTATAAAAACAGGTTCCTGCTATGATAATCAATATGTGAAATAAGGAGTCACACTCCTGGTCTGGCCTCGCCGGGTCAGAACTCCCAGCGCCCAGCAGGAATGGTACACCAGAACACGGCCTTCTGACCAAGTCACCCAAAGCAGTAGTCTCTGGTTAACTCTACTTCCCCTCTGTGGGGGAATACTGCCTGAAGTTATTATCATCAATTATCTGTTAGTTAATTAAGCAATTTACAGCCTTCAACTAGTCAGGCACGCAGCTACCCAGGTCACGTCTCCGCCGTCCAGGACCACAACCCAAGTACTAACTGAACTGTTGTGATCTTCGCTCACGTCTCAGCAGCACACACAATGAGCAGTCAAGTTAAAATTTTTTTCCCACTTGAATTCCTGGAATACTTTTCTCCTGCTACTATAAAAGATTCACTGTAAAAGCTCTAAGGTTTAGTCTTTTAAACTATGAAGTTTAGAAATGTATGTGTGTTTAAAGCAGGCTTAGTAAGTTCAGCTTTGGAAACACATGAAAATAATAATTCTATGAACGTTTCTCACTTATATAAATAGGGATAGAAAAGTTTACATAATTTAGCCAACTTTCAAACAAAGAATTAGCAATAGGCTAGTAAATGGAAGTAATTCTTCTACCCGTGATCCCTGAACCATCACCACAAATGCACTCTGGGGCCAGCTCTCCTCAGGCAAGTCTCCTCCTAATGAGCTTTGGCTGCAGTCTGAAGAGGTTTCCCGAATAGAATGAAACGTGAAAGGCCCAACTCACAGACCTGGGGCTTCAGGTGCACAAAGGCTTCCTCAAAAAGCATGGCTGTGTCGGGGCTCTTTGAGTCGATCAGCACCCGCAGCTTCATCTGCCACATTGTCACAGAGTCTCTGAACAATTCCATCCCAGCTTCCGCCACCTCCAGAGCTTCCTTAAAGAAGTCCCGGTGCAGCAACAACTCGATCTAGGTAAGGGATCGAATCGCTGAAAGTGTAACTACTGAGAGCTAAATTATCTATGTAAATGGGGACAAGTAGAGACCTCATTTGAGGCAATAAATTCAACAGCCTTCCAAATAGGCACAAAGTGAACAATGGGGAATTTCCCCTCCATTCCCTGCTCCTATCCCCAAAGGCTGTCAAAAAACAGGGAAGAGGTGAAAAGCAGAGGGCCTAAATAATTCAGATTGAAAGTTAACTTTTTAATAAAATAATTCACTAGAATAAATCCAATACCCGGCGAACAGAATATAAAAATCAGTAAAGGCAAAAGCAGTATTTATGGGGCCTTTATTGTACCAGTGGTTAATCTGGTCCAAGCATTACGTTCAGAATGTTCAGTAAAAGATGAATTCTGAGTGTGTTCCACTACACAATATTTCTCCCCTTACCGGGACAGATTTCATTTCTGCCATACACCAAACACTCCCAGCAAATTAAACACTCCCTCTATCTGTACCAATCTTTCAAATGGGCTTAGTCATAAAACTACATATTTTTAAACACATGACACCAGTGTGAGCCAATCAGAATTAAGTACACATAATTTGGCAGTGAATGTGTTCTCCATGTCCTTACCCACTGCTTGTACTGGAATTCCGGGAGAAGTTTGAGTTTGTGTGCCTTCCTGAAGGCAACCATGGTTCTTTCCAGCCTCTGAAATCAGAACATGTCTCTCAGTTCATCACAAAGATCCCAGCAGGGCCCTTTGGACTCCGACAGGAACCAAAGCGCTTTTACACCTTTCTGAGAACTGAGAGAGGGGACGGAGGTGGTTTCACTTATGATTAAACGATGTGGGCAGCTGCACTGGGCACAGCCCAGTAAGAGAGCATCTCCTAACCTGGTGGCCAGAACTAGCGCAAAGCAGACCATGGTCTTCAGGAGGACAGGTCACTCACAGGACAAAGAGCAGTTATACATGAAGTTCTTGGAAGCAGTCTTTCAGAAGACAAGTCACTTTCCAGTCACCCACTGTAACCATGCAACAGAAGTCATTACCTTCTCTCTGAGGAGCCGACTATTTGTCTTCTTAGCAAACCTTTCCATGCAAAAATTGATGTAGCATTTCCACATGGCCTCTGGAAAAGTCAGGAAGATTACAGTGATCAGGTCACCAGTTTTCTTAGTTGAACAATCATGATATATCTTTTCTTGGAAAGGAAGACTCCTCTGAGAAGAGTTTAAACTCGTCTGATGAAAAAAATAGGTATTCTGATCAAACACCTCAAATATAGAGCAAAAAACAACTGAGTAATGACATAAATATGAAAGTTAAAAATCTTATCTGTTACATATCCTCTCTACCTTTATTCTCCAACATTAGAAAGCTACAAAGTAAACCTGTAAGAAAAGATAATTAAGAAACAATAATTATATACGTATGTACATGTATGATTGAAACATTATGTTGTACAACAGAAATTGACACATTGTAAACTGATTATACTTTAATTTAAAAAACATTTTTTTAATGATAATTAAACAATCTTCCGACTTATCACTTCCTAAGTATTATTTACTTCCCCAAATAAATTAACAGAAATGCCACAGATATAAAAGACAGTCATAAAAATCTCCATCTTTTACCATCAGAGCAGGGACAACTTGGAAAGCCAGGCACACGGTAAACGACCACAAAGAGGTTCCAGAAATCGATTTCGGTCACGGGAACAGAGGTCCTGCTTCACGCTCAGGAACACGATGACTCCTCCCCACACCTGGGCCTGGGGAAGCTCACCTGTGGACAGCGTCTTCACCGCCTCTTCGTACACAGCACAGCACCTCTCCTCCCTGCGGCCCACCTCCGCTGCTTTGGCCTGTTTCATCGCAGGTGGCTCTTCTCCTGGCTGCGACTCGATCTCTAATTCTCGCCGGGCCACATAATCCCAAGTGAAGGGGTCATCCGTGTGCACAGCCTGAAGGCTGAAACATACTGGTATCAACCCAAGGACATGAGACTGGCCCTGTGCTCTGAAATTGTACCCAGGACACCCTTTAACAATTCCAGCACCAAAAGAGCTATTTCCCGACAGGCTCTCCAGATGTTGTCTCCCTAAAATGTTGTTCATGAATCAGAACTGTCACACACTGGTTAGTTTCAGACTGTTTCAGACATCATTCATAAATGTTAACTTGCAAGTTAGCTCTCAAAGTCAAATCAGCAGGAATATGTGACTAGATATCTGGTCCTTGAACCCTGGAGAACCTTATTATACCCAGACTTGATTTTCTCTAATAGAGGGAGCCTAATCCTCCACCAAAACCCTGAAGGTATCCAGAGAGCAAACTGATCCAAGTTCCACCTCATCTCCTATGAAAGGAAGAATGCTACTAAGGGTGAAGTACCCACAAGGCAGCCTGCAAGTAACTGCCAAACCACATGCTGAGACATTGTCTAAGTACCCGCAGCACTCAACTGTGAACGTTCGTGAGTACAACTCTCACCAAAAGACATGCCAGGAGCGCACGAATATAGATTTTTATATAAGCTGTAGGATGTATCTGTTATTGAACAAAAGCAAACTATTTCCCAAGGGAAGCCAGTGAGTCAACCTCTCCAAAAATATATTTTTTATGTACTACGATACAATAGTCCTAAAATTTAGCTTTCTTCCAAGGATTTCATGTGGTTATCTTCTTTCCCCCTTTCTAAATATCCAGCTTCAAATCCTTACCACGAACTCAAAACAGACACGTTCACCTCGCCACCACTTTACTTACTCATCATAAATTTCTCTTTGCAGATCTTTGGCAAAGTCGAACAGCCGTGCTATTGAAAGCAGTGACACATGAAATTCTGCACCTAAAATTTAAAAAGCGGGGAAGGGGAGTAAGACCCCAAAGCAGCACTTTCTTGAGGTACTGGAGTTAGTTCTGCTTTTTTATAAATTGAAACATAAGATAAAATGGGGGGGGGAAATCACCCATAGTTCTACTATGCAAGTAAAGTCATTATTAATACTTGAGTATTCTTAAGTGATTTAACTTTTATTCTAAGCTTATTTAGGACATAAAGGAACTTAATTACTGAATCATCTATTTCTTTCCAACTCCCCACATGAATTAAGTTCTCAAAAACATTACCAAAATGTTCAATAAAATCCTAAGGGGAAATAAGCCTTTTCTGAAAGAAACAGGACAGTATTTTCGAACAAATCAGAGTTTTGTACACATTCCAACAGAAATTGTCAAAATAGTCTAAAGGTGGCCCTCATTACAAATAGAATGTTTCACTTTCCCACCATAAATAAATTTTCAAGAGATACCTACTTTTAATTATGCTTACAGCATTTTTGTAGATGATCCGTGCCAGTTCGCCCGTAAGGATTTCCTCAGCGTACTCAAGATTCCCCTAGAGAGTGTGGTATTAAACAGAACTTAACAGGAAGTGCCAGTGAGCAGGAATAGCACTAGGGTGAAAATGAACAATCCTAGACTACGTGAGCCACATGACCTCTGGGCAAATCACATCTCCCTCTCTGGGCCAGTTCCCTCACTTGTAAAATGTGCGGCTGGAACAAGATCCTCCAACTGTGGTCTCTCAGGCTCCTGGAGTGGTAGCAAGATCACACAGCTTAAGGCCTCACTCTCCATCTGGACCAGAACAGGTCAGGTTTTACATGCCGTGTTTACCCTTCTGTGCAAGATTTTATTTGGATAAAAAAGTTCAGAGCTGGAAACCACCGTAACAGATGATAACAAAGTTCCTTTTTCAGCTCTATCATTCTCAAACTTCTTTCTTGGGAAGTACTCTGACACATAAAATATTACATAAAAAGGAAGAGAGAGGCGGCTAGGAACCATACGTTTCACAGCCTTTCTTGAGCTCCTTCAGCTCATTAACATATCATTTAATGAGATCACAAAGTATTAAAGAATAGTATTTGGCCATTCCATCAGTAATAATTTTCAAGGACCACTCCTCAATTAGTCCAAAAGTCTATTTTTAAAGCACAAAACTCCATTTTTATAACTAAGCCCATTTTAGTTAAATAAACTCTAGACTTAAAGTTTCAAAATACTAAATTGGAAAGAAAGAAAAATAAATTCCGAAGATTTTCTTTGACTCCTAAGCAGGTTTGAAACACTAGATATGGTTAACAAGTGACAATACATTAGAATCTTACCACATCCATCTTGGCTTTTTCAAATTCTTGCTTTTCCTTCCTCAATTTCTCGGCATGCATCAGCTCCATCCTAAAGTACTACAGAAGGGAAATAATGAACTGAAAATCTTTGGAGATAATTTTTTTAATTAGAAATATGTAAAATGCCATTTTTTACTCCTGAGTATCAGATCTGGGGGAGTTGTGGGGAGCACTATGTTTTGTCTTGTTATGAAACCAGCTGACATTGACAAGGTGTGGATATTATGTTATGCTCTTATGACAAGCAATTTGGAGACATGAATCAAAAACCTTAAAAATGTTAATACCATTGGTCATCCCTTCACAGCTAAACAAACCATAAAGTCTAGCCCTAAACTGGTGAAGAGAAGTAACAACTGTGTTGTAACATTCTTAATCTAGTTGAGAAGTACCTAAGCTTGTCATCTAACAATGGAAGCTTTTGCAAGTGATTTTATTTATGACTTCGTCCTTCTATGTGAAAAGGATCAACAAAGACCAGTGGGGAATCACCTTTTAATCCCATCTAGCAATAAAAAAAAATACATATATATAAACAAAAACAAAACAAACAGATCATCATAATCATCATCATCATCATCATCATCCCACCTAGCAGTAAAGAGGCTGAGTGGCATCAAGGTGATCTACTAAACAGAAGATTATAGTATCTAGAGTCTCATAAAGTAACAGCCAAAATGTCTACAATTCAATGGAAATTCACCTGTCAACCCAGAACCAGGAAAATCTCAACCTGATCATCAAGAGACACCAACACCAAGACGACACAGATGCTGCAATTATCTGACAAGAATTTTAAGCCATGAACTTGAAGGCTGAACAATAGGAATTACCCAATCTGAACAACAGAAAGAAAGAGTCAGGACAATCACACTATAAATGAGGAAGGTACAGGGACATACAGGGTGATCAAATCTCTACACTTCATTCAAACTAGTAAAATTCTGAAACCAGCAGACTGTGATAGATTACAGATATATAGTACATACAGTACCTAGAGCAACCACTGAGAGAGCAGTACAAACAGATGCGCTCATTTTGATTCCACAGATGAATCAAAATGGAACTGTAGGCAAAGTTCCAGTAGCCCACAGGAAGACAGGAAAAACAAAATAGTGAAATGTAAACAGAGGGATAAAACAGAAAACAAAAAATTAAATGGCAGATTTAAGTCCTACTACACTGATGGTGGGAAACAGTGGGTAACGTTAAGGAGGCAGCATGAAGGAGAGCTCTGTGGTGATAGGACAATTCTGCACCTTTACTGAAGGGCGGTTACACAAATCTACACATCTAAGAAAAAGAAATGACAAAGAACTACATATACACATGAGACCAATGTCAATTTCCTGGCTTTTTTATTATAATTTTATAAAATATAATCACTAAGGAAACTGAGAAAAGGGTATGCAAGACCTCACTGTACTATCTTTATAACTTCTTGGGAATCTATAATTATTTCAAAATAAAAATCAATGACAAATATGTAATACCAAGTTATACAAAAGAGAAACTAACACATGATTAACTTGTACTATAGAGCTGAACTCATCCCAGATTTTCAATTCTTTGAATTCTAATTCTAATTTAATACTTTGAATTCTATGTTACAAGACATTAAAATGACAAGTTAAAAAAAATGTTTATACCCTTTAAACCAGTAATTCTGCTTCCAGGAATCTATTATAAGGAAATAATCCCAAAATACCTTAAAGTCAACATCTACCACTAGCCAAGAAGTACCCTCCTGGCCCCTCTTCCCCAGCAGCACCCATACTAATCCCTAGCCTCCATCAGTCGAAGTCTTTCTTAACTTGATAAAGATATATGCCCTCAGAGGACCAAACTGAAACATCAGTCTCTCGTGTTCTGTGCACACACACTCACTTCTTGGTAAAGTTTTGGGCACTCTGGATGAAAGCGCAGAGCCCGGAGAAATAGTTGTCTTGCACTTTCTGAAGACAAGCGATCTTCCATTTCCCATTTGGCTGCCATAATCCACAAAGCTGTAAGTGAAAAACACCAGACTTCTTTTCAATAAAGTCATTAAGTCAGGTAAGAAAAGACCAATGCTCCAACTGGGAGACCCAGAGATTGTTTTTTTTTTAAATCTTACTGAAAAAGGAAGGGGATGGAGAGAGGGAGTTTTTAATGGTTATCTGTAAAGTACTGTTGCTTTATGTAAAATTAGAAAGTGTTTTAAAGCAAACAGGTAAATGTTAACACCTGTAGGTACTTATCTGCCCGTTACTCTATTTCATCAAATCTAAGGTCAACATCATTGTTAAGTCACACACAAAACTTGAAAGTGTTAAAATGCTGGAAAAAGATTGTGTACCTTAGAGTCAATGAAATAAAATTATTTTGCTCTTTTTTCTGTACTTAAAGTAGTTGATAGTTACTTTTTTTCAAATGACTCAGTTTTAAAAGTAAAAATTTTATTGTACCTACTGGGAATAAAGGCTTTAAAAAAAAAGCCAACTTTGTCCTTCTACTTGAGAAATTAACCTTGAGTTAACATTCTAGCTATTTCCCTAGGAACTTCATAAAGGTCAGCTATCATCAGGCAAAATTGTTATTGGTAAAATGATCTATGGTTGGTAACCATATCTGGACTAGGAGAGCTATGAATGGAAGAGAGCCACTGCTTTGGGCTTTCTTGAGCATGTGACTCCTGAAATTGAGCACAATCCACAGGTACAATACCTGGAAACTACATACATCCATGGGTCTTCTAAGCCAGAGTGGCACCTCTGCCCATTTGTGTGATCTCACGCCCTCCCACCTGAGACAAGCCTCGGAACTGCTGAGAGCACTGTGCTCAAGAAACACAACTAGTGCCACTCAGCTGTGTCCTTCTGCATTACCCAGTGCCAAATGTAGCTGATCTTGAGTCCTGTGTAATGTAAACCTAATACTTGAGAACAGGCTCTGAAGCACCTCCTCTATAAAACAGCATGTCACTCACACAGTATTCATAAGACAAGTCTTTCTCTTATAAAACATGAGTTCTACTCTGTGCCAATCACTCTTGTAAAATCTATATTAATAGTTTCCCCTTTAAGTTTTTGAAACCCTTAGATCTGACTGCCTCCAAATAGAATGCCCCTCAAAGGACTGAAGGGTTTCTTGCACCATCAACTAAAAAGAAACAGCCCTTCTCATCCCCAGATAAAACACCTCACACAGTAACTAGTACACAGTAGGCAGCGATGAACTCAGAGGCAGCTATTCAGGAATAAAAGTTGCTGAGGCCAAGTGTCTATGCTCAAGTTCTCAAAATAATTCTTTTAGATTTAGCAAAATAAATTCCAAAATAGCTGGAGCCTACAAAAAAGATACAAAAAGAACTGACAAGGATTTCACCATACCTGGCTTGTTTGAATGAATGGCCAACATGGCAGAGAATACCTTGCTAAGTTGAACTTTGGTAGCCTGCAAAAGAAGAAGAAAAACTTCTACTTCCTGCACAGCTAAGTCACTGCTATTAATCTCCAAGAGACCTGGACTGTACCCTCACCAACTATAAAATCCAGTGAGGCGACGTCTGCTATCGCTAGGAACACATAGACAAATATAGACACACGCCTAATTTTCTTCTACCTAAACCACTATACATAAACTTTTTAAATATCTAAAAAAAATCTTTCAACTTTACTGAACAAATACACAGAAAGATTATTTTCTTTCCAACTGATGTGGAAGCTATTTACATAGTCATTCAGATATGCAAATATTGCTATATTGAAATTCAGCCTTCTTGGGCCCTTTTCCCATTTGTTAACCCTGAATCTTTGGAGAAAATACAGAGTTTAGTAATCGAGTATGAGGCTTAAAAGGCAGACTAATAAAAGCAGAGAGGGAGCAAGAAACAGCTACCCAATACTCACCCACTTCTTACAAAAGACTATATAAGACAGCCAGAGTTGAACATCATCCTACAAGAAAAGCAATGTAGTAAGGTGGCTGAATTTGAATCTTATATATAATACACCTTTGCATTCATTCATTTAATTAGAATCAGAGGTGGATTTCAGAAATTCCAATGTGTTATACTATATCCCTCAGCCTATGAGGCTGTTCCTCACCAGGGCCTCAGATCTCTTAACCCCGACAGCTCCTTCTGCCCCTCAGCTGCCGCCTACTAAGCTCTAAGACAAAGTCTGTTGTCTGTCTAACTTGTTCAATGCACTTCTTAAGTGGTCTCAACCAGTGGCAGCAAATTAAAATTTGTCGTTCCCAAGAATCCTAAGTACTTTCCATATAATATATCCCAGTCCCAGAACCAAATTTGAAGAAAACCAAGTTACTGGGGTGCTGCCTTATCTTCCTCCACCAAGTCCTCGGGCTACTTTATTTAGAGATATATCCAAACAAATCCCAGACAATTTTCTGATCCTTAAATACATATCAAATCCACTGTTTTCAGCATCATCCTCACAGAACAACTCTAAGGTAATGAGATCAATTTTCTTAACAGTTTGATAAGCGGTTCGCAAGTAATGATACTATCATTAGAATAAGCACTGAGATACCCAAGAATCCACAACCGCACATTTGAATATCCAACTCATAATATGTAATACACATCTTCACATCTCTTACAGCTAAGGACACTCTGATCACTCACCTTCCACTTGGCTGAAGCACGTCGGAAAACACCTCGTACCCGGTGTACAATAGAATCCTCAATCTCATCCTTCTTAAATGAATACCCAATGCGCTGAAAAGGGACATTAAAAAAAACAAAGCCTCAATTTAATCACATTTATCCAAACAGCAGTCCCGCTTGATCTCTAAACAGTACTGACAGAGAAAGTAGAGAATTACAAATATCATCATGAGCACACCACCACACAATTATCAATGCCAAATCCTTCCCAAACCCAACTTCCAGCTTACAGAATTACACTATTCAATTCTATATTTTTCCAACTTCCAGAAAATCATCTACTTACAACTCTTCTTCTCTGGATCAGCTCCAAAAGATTAATTTCATACTATGAAAGAAAAAGATACAAAGAAAGAGAAAACAAGAAAAATTATAACCATTTATACAGAGGAAATGCATTTAGTTAAAATCATAAAGTAAATAAAAATCAAGAATATAAAAATGAAAGATAATTTGCTATCAAGAAGCCTAATTTACAGTAAACGTCTAGCATTCACTAAAAATTCACCTTACATCTGCAAAACTCACCAATATACACATTAGCTAGCATACAAACATCTTAGATACAAAGAAAGCACGTTACTAAAACTGTAAGACCCGTAAGATCTACCATATCAATCTAACTTCCCAGTCTACAACAGTGTGTTCAAACTTTTAGTAAATTAATGACTCCAAACTTTGAGCTGATGCACAAGCAAATAAAGCAGAGAAACAGGGTTGTACTAGCTGAAACAGGGTGTCTAATGTGCTCTTCCTACCTTCCCCTGTAAAGGACCAGAGAACCTCTAAGGCTCTCCAGAAACCATTACTACAGAATTCCTCTCTAAGCCTGAAGACTATTAGAGACAGAAAGCACAGAACTTTACCAGACCCTATACTTCATTTTAAAACTGTCTTAAGAAATATTTCAAGCATACAGAACACCCATGCAGCTACCACACAGCTACATTTTACTATACTTACTTCAAAACTTTTTTAGAAATAAAACATTTCAAATAAATGTTTGAACATGCACCATGTCTGATTCCAGTCTTCTCCTCCCCCAGAGGAAATGACTATTCATTTTCTTTTTTCCTTTTTCTTTTTTTTTTTTTTTACTGAAATATAGTCAGTCAGTGTGTCAATTTCTGGTGTACAGCACAATATTCCAGTCATGCATATACATACATATATTCATTTTCAATTTTTAATTAAAGGTTATCATAAGATAGTGAACATAGTTTC